CTGTCTTCCCATTTTTGTGTACAGTCTACTATCACACATGTGTATATATATATATATATATATATATATATATATAGAACATGTACTTACATTTAATATTAATCCTCAGTACTCAGTCTTCCCATTTTTGTGTACAGTCTACTATCACACACATATTTAGAACAAGTATGGTAGTATTACACATTTTTCAAGAATATTTTGAGATGAATTTAAATCCCTTAGACAACTTGTATATGTACAAAAGTAACATGAGTTATTAACACATTTCACAAAAAAAGTCTACTGTTTTCATGTGACACAATAAAAAGTTATGAAATTTCAATAACGTGGTGTTATATCAATCGAAGATATTTAACTGCATTAATAACAAAGATCTCTGACTAACAACTAAATAATTAAAATGGAGAAAACAACCAGTCATAACCTTATCTAAAGTAAATGTTTTTGTCACAGCAAATGCCCAGCCAGCTTCAAACGCTCTCCGAATCATGGCACTGCTGGTTGTTGGTGGGGCACTAGCAAGCCCAAAAGGATTTTTAAATTTCAGACCACACATTTCAACGCTGATATCCACCATGTCGACAGGGGTATAAAATTTGGGTAGCGATGGTATTTTGGGTACTGGGAAACCGTGAAGGCTCTGGAAAGAAAACAAAAAGTAAGAAGCAGGTTCGTTATGTTTGAAAATATGCGTAAACTAATGAACCTACAATTACCAATATCGAAAGTCACATTTGGTTCTAGTTGCTTAATCATACGCTTTTTTATTGCATGTTAAAACAACTCACACAACTGTTAACGAAGTTTACTACATAAAAAATAGTTCCACTTTCTCAGAGAAGAATTTTCATGTTGGTTTTCAAATTATTATTATTCGTATATCTTTACATTAAATATGGTTTTATGTTTTATTTCCATATTCTTTTGGTAGTCAAAGTCATGTTATTGTAATTTTTGGGGATTTATGAACACCAAATAACACTCTCACTACTTTGATACGATTGTACACCTGTTTTCGTTTCTTTATTATAATTATCAAAACATATTTAGTTGACAACTTTGTCGTAAAACACTAGAAGTGGAATACTTTAATTGTACATATTTTATGTAAAACCTGCTCTTTGTGATATCTGTTTTTAGAGTTCTATACCAGCCAGTATTTTCATACCCATATCAGTACTTATGAATCAAAAGAGGTGATATTTATTCAAATAAGAAATAAATACGTTAAATGTTAATTTCTGATCCTAAGTACTTGGAGAAATTCGTGGATGAACCAAGCTGCTGTCTTTCCATCGTTTACAGCTTCAACGGTTGTTTCTGCTACACCAGCCATGTCTCCTCCACAGAACACCCACTTCTCGCTACTCTGCATTATGCTCTTGTCGACCTCTGGAAGTCCCAAGTTTGTGAGCTTGAGAGGCTTGATGGCTTCTAACACTTTACAATGAAAGATAAGAAGGGGTCAAATCGTTTTGTCTAGTTAAACTTTATCACACAGAGGGTTCCGTACATTACATTAATAATGTCGTTACAGCCCATGTCACCATGTCTGCTCGTGCACTATCTAGCAACTCTTCTAATTCTTGAAGATCCCCAAGGGGCTAGATTAAGAATGTAGTGTTTAAAATGTAATAAGTCAAACACAAATGTCTTATGACAAGTAAAAATTGTAACTTTGCATCTTGACAATAGCCTTGCAGCATAATGTACAACATTCAAGGAGAGGTGGTGTGCTTTGAACATGAAAACCTGATGGCCAAGCCGTTGTAAAATCGTTTTAATGTAACGTATTTATGTAATAATACTTATTTGCTGTTATTCATAATTCATTGATTTTGTTTGTAACTTAAGATTAAACTAATTTTATATACATATTTATATATTTTATAACTTTTTATGGTTAAATTGTGTTCCAGTTTGTTTAAACGCATTTTAAAAGCTGAATAAAATGCTCTTTTAGTTACAGTTTATCTGTTGAATTTCGCGCATAGCTACTCAACGGCTATCTGCGATCCCGCGACCCGCAGAATGCGAGTCGAGTCTCTTATCCACAAGGCCAAGAAAAATCTCTTTAGTTACAGATTGTAACTCTAGTGACAAATGCTTCCAGACAAAATAATAAAAAAAATTACAAATAGATTACATTAAACAAACTAATTATAGAAATAAAAATGTATAATTGCGAAGTAATTTTCTAAGGTACCTGGTAGTTCAGAGGTAAATCTGAGGGCTTATAATGCTAAAACATTTGGCTTTGATACCTGCAATGAGCACAACACAGTAAGCCCGTTATGTAGCTTTGGTCTTAAAACAAATAAATAAACAAACAACGTTAGGGCATCTAATTAAAAACTCTCACATTTCCTGGTGGTTTGGCCAAGACTAACGATCAAGAATGAAACTTACATTTTTAGTGATGTCAAACTTTTTTCAATATGGAAGTCCATGTGTGAATACCTATTTATACACTCGACTGTTCTTAATATCTGGTGACTGGAATAAACTTTTAGGAGAATCCTGCTTATAAAAGTGAGACTATAATATACATGTAGAAAGTATCAAGCAAACTTAATCAGTCTAATAACATGTACTGAAACCTTCTCTATTCACCAATATTGTCTTTATATGTAACTCATAACAGTTATTAATCATTATAAAGTATATAAGAAGCGAACATAAAGAGGCTAGAAAGCAAACTGTGTATTTATTACTGTCGTTTTCTCTATAGTTATCTGATGACTTTTGAAAAGACCCGGCATGGCCAGGTGGATAAGGCGCTCGACTCGCAATCTGAGGGTCGCGGGTTCGAATCCCCGTCCCACCAAACATGCTCGCCCTTTCAGCCGTGGGGGCGTTATAACGTGACGGTCAATCCCACTATTCGTTGGTAAAAGAGTTGGCGGTGAGTGGTGATGACTAGCTGCCTTCCCTCTAGTCTTACACTGCTAAAATTAGGGACGGCTAGCGCAGATAGCCCTCGTGTAGCTTTGCGCGAAATTCAAAAACAAAACAAAAAAGACTTTTGAAAAAAAACGTTAGCATAAAACAATGGATACAAAGATAGATAGA